TTTTTCATTCCCTTCAATGAATTTCTAATACATAAGGAAGTCTATACGCTATACATGGGAAATTCGGGCGCCGAAAAAAAACTTACCATCTGAAACCTGCTATCTTAATACCTTGGGAAACCTATTCCCTATCTTAATACATTGATAAATCTATAGCCTATGTTAATACATAGGGTGATGACCAGATACTCTATAGCCTATGTTAATACATGGGGTCATCAACCCCCCCCCCCCCTGGCTGAATTCATCCAACATATACTTCTGACATCGTATGTAAACTTACAGCTTCGAAAATTGTTCTGTTTTACATGTTTTGAGATAAGACAAAAATTGGGAGTTTGTAAATACCGGGAGGCTCATCGGCAACTTGCACACAACAGGTTTCAACCATTTCAATTAAGTACACCATATGACAATTTTCGGCCATCTGAGAGTTTGTTCAGCTGCAGACTTGGACAGCTGGATGCTCGGCTAATACTTAAGACTTTCGGTCGACTGGGTGTTCCGCCAACTAGACACTCGGTCAGTTTTTTCACTCCCTAAGAGTCTACGGCAGCTGTAACTTCCGCTAACTGGGCACTAGGTCAATACTTTCGCTTCCCACGACTTTTGGCCAGCTGGGTATTTGGACGACTGGATAACACTCGGCCAATATTTTCGCTTCCGAGGTCTTTTGGCCAATTGCTGATCGGCTTAGTGAACACTCGCTCGGCCATTGGCATCACTTCCGTCAACTTTTGGCCAACTGTGCCATTTTGGACACTTCGTCAATATTTTTTGGCTCTGATGAGGTTTGGATTCTCTGCCGTGATCGGACACTTTCGCTGTACCCTTGTCACTTGTGGGGCGCCAAAATTTGGTCGCTCCAATCCTTATCTCTCAAAAAAAACCTACAGTTATCCAATACATTCGGTTGAAATAACAGTTCACAGTAGGTTTTTAATGGCAGATAACTCTTTTTATAGGATAATTCGAAACAAACAACTCTGAAGCGAGTTAGAGAAAAAAAATGGTTGAAACCTGCCAATTTAGGCTACAGTCACTCGAGCTTAATTGTATAAGGGTCAGCGACAGGGATTCGAATCAGTGCTTCAAATGAACTGATCATTGATAAAGGGGCCACTGATCGAGGCCTGAAACAGCGCTGAAAATTCTAAGTAAATTACATTACTGAATAATGGATAATTCAGTGTGACGATGGTCCTTCAAGAAATCAGCCCAGATTCAGAGATAGTTACGCGCTAACTTTGAACTTCATCGCTGTATCAAAGATTAATCAGAGCTACCTCAGAGCTGAGATTTTCAGCGCAGATTTAGATATATTAAAGAGCTTATTCCGAACTGTATCCATTTTTGACTCTGATCATTGATTAGTGGTTACTGATCAGGGCCTGAAACAGCAATGATTATCTCTGCGACTCCAGATCGAGACTGCAACAATTACGGTTGGATCTCCTTTTCGCCGGATGTCGTCGCAGAGGTAACGCTTGCCGTTTTCTGATCTGTGTCCAATTTTTGAAGACCATTACATTTGCAGGACTGACTCAAGTAGCTTTGCTGACTTCCCGGCAAAAATATAATGATTATGTGACCTTTGTCAATCATTTTTTTGACTTCCCGGCAAAAAGATGGTTCTGTGACCTTTTTCAATTTATTTTACAAATTTTGTTTGGGGAGACTCTGAAAAAAAACTAAAAAAAAATTACAGGATTTTCGCAGCCTTATTCAAATTATATGGTTTATACAATCAATATTATTATAAGCCTGCTCAAAATCCCCTTATGCTCGAAATTAATACTAATAAAAAAGACCGAGCGCCAATTTCACTCATTATTGAAAAAAAAATCGACTCGCAAATGAAAGTGCTTTCAAATTACATGTTTTTTTTCGATGATTAATTGTGGTACTCAACACCGGATTTAGGGGTGGGGGAGGGGGTGGTCGGTTGTTTTTTTTCTCTCAGGGATAAGACCCCCTGCTGGTCCAAAGGGTCTCCCATCGTACAATTTTGAGATTTTTTTACGCAATTTTTTGGACTGTTTTTGAGTGCACTTATATGTACTGCATGTAATGAGAGCGTCTGGTGCAGATCTTCACGGTAGTAATAAATTTTTTTATACGAATAATATATGGCTTCTGTTCTTTAAAGGTTGAAAATGGTCTTCATAGTTTTGACGTTTGAGAAATCTTGCTGAATTGTCAGACTCGGGCCGTTTTTCTTCTGCTGTTTTTTGGCTATTGCATAATTTTTGAAAAAATACACTTCCTTGAAACAAAAAATGATCATATTTCAAGTTCATTGAATTTCTTTGTTCTTTGTTAAATTTAAGGTTGGTCTTAGTTTGCAGGGGGAAATTGTTCATCTTATATTGGAAATTGTCAAAACCCTCTTAGTTTTACAGAAAATGTTTGACCATATTTTTTTTTGATAATAAATTCAAGACATCAATAGCGTTGAGTTGATGCAAAAAACAATCCTTCCAAAATAAGATAGTTAAAATTCGTAAAGTGTCTGGAGAAATAAAACTATCTCCAGCGCAGCTATTTCTTCGCTTTCGTACAAAATCGGAATAATATTCAATGATGCAACTCAGTCACAGCTCGCTCTTACATTAATTCCCTCCAAACCTAGTTTTGGCCTCACAGTCGTTTAAGGCTCAAAAGTTTCTTCAGTCTCCGATATTCAAAATGAGAAAAAAAGACTGCTACTTTCTTGTTTGCACTCTAGTAATGCAAAAAAAAGACAGAGACTTTCTCGTTTGCACTCTGGTATTCGCTGCTGACCCTCCAATTGCTTTAATTTTTTTTGGGCATTCATTGTAGTTATATCAAACTGTAGGTTACCAGACAAAAAAATTATCAATTTCTTACTTTTTTTATCGTCTTACCAATTTTCAGCTGAAAACCTTTGATTAGGTAACCAGGATATATTTGGAGCCAGTTCGCGGTCTACAAAAATTAGTTGTTAAAAATAAGTATGTATCAGTTTTTTTCTATCAGACACATTTTAAAAAAGCCTGAAGATTTAAAGTGTATGCCTGTTACAAATAAAGTGTTCAGATGCTCAGAGGGCTACTGTAGGTGATAGGAGCATTAGTACCAGATCTACACAGTGGTGCTAAATTTCAATTCGGAATCAGTTGTGGCTTGAGTATTCTTGTTACAAAAAAAAATTCTCGATAAATAAAACCAACTAGATCGCAATTTTATTCTTCGCTTTTGTCAAAAATTGGAACTTTAATCAATAGTGCAACTCAGTCCCATAGCTCTTGCATTATTTTCCTCCTAACTTAATTTAGGCTTGACAATCTTTTCAGGTTTCAGAGTTAATTCAGTCTAAAAAAATCAAACTTCGAAAAAGAACTCTGCGTCTTCCTCGTTTGCGCTCTAGTATTTTTGCGGAAACAAAATGTATCACTTTGCCTTTTACGATAAAATCAAGAACAAGGAAAACAAAACTGCTCGTATCAGGGTAAAGACCTGAATGTTCCGACTGCTTTTTAAGGTCTATGACAAGAAAAAAATAAATATAACATTTTAATTTGAGATTTTTTCTGAAAATCATCCCTCCACTCGCCATATTTAGTAGAAAATGATATTTTTTGCTCGTAGTAGCAAATCAATAAAGGCAAACAAGAGTGCTCGTAAATCAGGGCAAAGCCCTGAATTCTCCGATTGTTCCCTAATTCATATCGAATAGGTTTTGAGAAAAGAAAAAATTGAAAACCTATAAATTTTGAAAACCTATAAACCTAAAAACCAAAACGTAAAATTTCAAGTCGTACGAAATTATTACGACTAATTATCAAGCCTCATTTCAATTTGGAACGATTTTGTTGTGCGGGATAATTTGCCACGCTTAAATAAATCGCATTCAGGATAAATTGAGCATGAACGAAGCTAATCTGACAAACAAAGGAATGAGAAGGTTTTTTTCATTGTACAATCAGATAAAATTCTAAACAAAACTGCTCGTATCAGGGCGAAGCGTTGAGTGTTCCGACTGCCTTTTAAGGTTTTATGGAGCAGTAATAACATTAAACAATTAAATGTAATAAAATAAAATGAAAATTTTTTTTTCTAAAATTTGAATTTTTTAATGAAAATCATCCCCCCACACGCCATATAAAGTACAAAAAGTTAGATTTAGCTCCTTGTAACAAATCAGTTATGGCAAATAAGCTTTTTTCAACCATTTTGGAACGATTTTAAGACGGATTAATTCTCCGCTTACGCGTTAATAGCGCGAAATATTTCGCGCGTTAATTGTCACAAATATGCCAACATGGCATTCTTTAAACCCTCATAATTTTACGAGTATTTATTTCCTAAGCTTAAATTCGAAAAATTTTACTTGTGATTTTTTTTGTGAAGTTATGGGGGTTTGACGATTGCCATTTTGGCCAGTTTGGGACAATCAACGCGCGATTTATATTTTGGCTTTTACCGCATAAGCAGAGATTTGATACTCGTATAAATCGTTCTAAATTCGTTGAAGGAAGATTATTTGCCTTAATTGATTTGTTATTAGGAGCAAAATCTATCTTTTTTATTTTATATGGCATATGGTAGTAAGGATTTTCACAAATTTTCTCAAATTTGAAAAAAAAAAATCGTTTTATTTTCTTACATTTCATTTGTTCTTTTCAATACTGCTCTAGGCAGTCGGAACATTCAAGGCTTCGCCCTGATACGGGCAGTCTTGTTTTTTTTCAAAGACCCTAAAATTTTCACTAAAAACTCTGTTCTTGTGGCCTGTTTTTGATTTTGTAAATTGTATCATTTAGAGCCAGCCCCTGGTTTTTATACATCCAGGAAGTTCAGGATAGTCCCTGCAGTTTAAGATATTGATTTTTGCTTGGACGCCTGGTTGGGCTAGCCAGGGTCAAATAGCTGAAAATCCATGGTTAGGCAAGCCGGATCATTTGGATCTCCATGTTTTGAATCAAAGGAGGCAAAATTTAAATTTAGATTTCATTATCTATAGCTACAATTGAGACTTGGATGCATTTAATTTCTCAAAACCAATATTTTATGAACTCCAAAGCTACCAAAGCTGCGGCGAGTTTCATTGGAAACAAAAAACTTCGCGTCATAGGATAGGTCGTCCATCCATTGATCGTACCAATAAAAACAGTTCAGAGTTCACCATTATTTTGCTTTCAATGCGAAACAGATTGTAACAGTTTTTCCGCTCAAAAAAGCCAAGGTGAATAAAGTTAAGAAAAAAAATAGACTACATTCTTAAGTTTTTTGCCTTATTGGCAATCGGCTGTTACGGCACCAAACGAATAATGCCACGATTAATAAAGCACTTATCCAAAAGCTATGAGCATGCGCACTAGGTCGACTGTGAATTAGATCACTGTCCAGAAAAAATACAGTTGTGAGCGTGGTCATTTTGACATATTGGTTAGATCATTTGAAGTCATGTTTGCTCTTCGGAATTTTCGGAGTCTTATCATGCATTGAGTTTGCTGTGCGAGTAGTTCATCAGAACTATCATGTACCCAGACGTAACGATAGTCATGAGGAGAAACGAGACAATGAAACACATTCGGTTCAATGTTTCGCATCCAACCACCATTTGTTCACGTTCCGTCAAGTCTCCCACCGAAGTTTTTTCAGAATTCTTTCTAGCCGGTCGAATGACCTCGGTATTGTTATCTTTGCCGCCATTTTGAGCAGCACTCACTTCTCTCTTGTCCGCTCCAATAAAAGGGAGGGCGGAGGCAATTGACAGTGTTCCGTGCACATATTTTATTGGCTTAGAACTTGGAAACTTTGGACCCAAAATCGGACGAACTTTCATGAGAGCGAATCGTAACAGTTGCCTTCCCTTACACTTCTCCGGCATCGGATCAATGTAAAGCGAAACCATGTAGATGGTAAGTAGAAGACTCAGCGCAATGAAACTTAGAGAAAAGAGAAGATACTGGCCCAATAGGGGAATCGAACTGGCGCCCTGAGGCATGAAGTTCGAAATGAGCATCATGTTGACTGTTTGTGCCAAGAAAATTGTGACCCCGTAGCCTATTTTTTCACCCGATTCAGGTGGAATCGCAAAATTGAACATGCTCAGATAGTTGATTGCAATGCCAGGAAGTATGACGTTTGCAACGTAGAAGGCGCTTCGTCTCTTCACATGTACAGAGAAGAGGAGGCTTGAGTAAGTTGTGTCCTGATGCTTGTAATCTTGTTGGATAGAAGTAACTTCTATCACCTCCCACGAGGTGCTTTGGGTCCTAAGTTCTTCATGAAGAATCGAGGCTGAAAAATATGTTGGGAATTAGGCGATGTGGCATCAGAGGCGGAATTAGGGATTCAGCCTATTGACCCTCAAAAGGGCACCCCCTTTGGTACTACTTTACGCAATTAGTTATTGGTCGGCCAACCTCTAAAAGCTGCTATGAGGGAGCCTTGGCGCATACACATACTTATTCATAGTCGGGTGCGGGGGGAGAGAAATGATTGGTTGCGAGCGCCAAAAAAAACCGGTAGTTTGAGTCCTTTGTAATGCGGAAATGGTTTGTGGTCATAGTTTCTAAAACATTTGCAAGATTTTTCCTGTTTTTTTTCCGTAAGATATTTTACCTCCGAATATGTTTTGTAAAGTTTTGGAAGCTTGAAGATTGCAGATTTGGCCATGTTATGGACTAAATTGTGCCGCGATTTGAAAAATTATTTCTTTATGCTGCGAGCGTAACTCTGATGATTTATGCCTGGCGTATTCAACCACACAAACAAAATCGTTCAAAATTGAATTGAGGCTAGCTAATTGGTCATATTATTTTCGCACGATTCATATTTGATCTTTGATATTGTCCGAAAAATGTTGTTCACAAATTTTATTCAGCATGTTAGCATATCTTTCAATCCCTAGACAAAAAATTATTGCGTTCTTTGGGGTTAATTTTTTGTACCAAAACTTAGCGAGTATTTTCATGTTTAGAAAATCTTTAATTTTCGTTGATTTTGTAGGAAGATAGCGATTTGATTCTGGTGGTGTCTCACTGTTTAATCCTGCGATATTTAAACCCTTATGTTTACACCCCCCATAGTATAACTCCGTAACATGATAACCCAACAACAATTTAAGCCCCTTTTAATGACGATAATTTGTTTCAAATTAAGTACTTTTATAAGTACAGGAGTAGTCCAATTAAGTTTACTAATTGAGGACTGAAAAGCTAGTCTTAATTCACTTGATGCCTCTAGCATCTCAAAAATAATTGCATTTCGATTAGTTAGAGAAATAATCCCTCACTCACGCGTTTAAAACAGAGATAACCTACATGGTGCTAATTGAAGGCAACAAAAGACGTTTGTGAGTTTTATAAAAAATCATACTGCCTATTTCTTTAACCATTGTTATACCACTCTATCAGATCAGATATAATGTTTGAAGCGACTTTCTATTTTACTTTATCTTCAAAAGACAAGCAAATGCTAGTGGTAGCAGGCCATGAGTATTACCTTAAACGCAAAAACAAGACAACAACAAATTGGAACTGCTCGAAGTACCAAACCCATAAATGCCGTACAACAGCAATTACGGATGGATAAAAATTTATTGAAATGACGGAACTTTCAAAGTCACCCCGAAAATGTTTTAAAAATTTTACTCCATACACGTCAGTCTTTCAGGAATAGCCCCCACTTGCATATATGCGTTCCTGCCAAATAAAACAGAAAAAACTTACCACCGTTTCTTAGAAGCCCTAAAAACACTAGCCCCTGATAGTAGACCTCAAAAAATTTAACTGGATTTTGAGCAGGCCGCTATTCAAGAGTTTCAGAAAAGTCCAAGCTGTCGGGATGTTTCTTCCATCTTTCACAAAGTTTTATGAGAGAAATCGCGGAGCTCGAATTGAAAAATGATTACGAAACAAGTCACGAGTTCGCTTTAGCACTCAAAATGTTACCCGTATTGGCGTTTGAAAAAGAAGAAGAAATAGGAATTTAATACGATAAAATAGTGGAGAAGATTCAATTCATTTGCGATCGCACCATAAAAGAGTCGGAAAAAATAGCAAAAATTGACGAGTTTTGCCTTTATTTTGGATTTAACTACATAAAAAATCTCGTCCCGAATCGGGAAGCCCTATTCCCCCCTTCATTATGGAATCAAAGGGATGCAGCATCATCGGGTTTGGCCAGAACAACAAATTGGAAAATTTTTTGTGGCGCCAGGGATTTGATTCTTTGATCTCTAGATTTTGAGACTAACGCTTTAACCACTATACCGTGAGGTCTTTGGTTGTCATCCGAATTATTGTTCCAAGTTTGGCTCTTTGATCTTTAATTGCGCCCATGTTTGAGTTTTCAAAGCGTAGATCAATTCTGTCGGCGCCAAAAGATCAAGGTCAGGAAATTCAAATGGTTTTGGAATGTTTTGTATGGGACTGTTCTTAGAACCTTTTTTTGATGTTTCGAACTCTTTTGTATGGGACTGTTTTGTGTATGCGCTAATTTGAATCATGTCGGTTGGATTCGTGATCAAGTTCATATCAAAGTCTAGACAATCGGCAAGGTCATTTCTGTTCAAGTCTAAAACGCATGTACCAGCGTGCATGTTAACTCATTTTGCTTCGCAAAATTTTTCGCAATTACAGCTTTGAAGTTTACCGACGATATCGTTCCGAATTCTTTTCAAGTAAATCTCATTTTAATTCTAACAATTGGTTTTAAAAAGGGGTTAAATTGTAGTGGGGTTATCTAACTTCGGGGTTATATGAGAGGGGTTAAGAAAAAGGGGGTTACAAAACACGGGGTGATAAGCTTGGGAACTGATTCTGGCACCTGTAAAATATACGAGGCCAAGGGAAAAAAAGAGAGCGTTTGATCAAACCAACTACTTAAAATACTTAGGTTCGTAGTTTTGTTGATTAAATGGATCTAATTATAAACAAAAAAGTTACCGCGGCAGTTTCGAGTTCTGATATTTTTGATTGACAAACAGATGCTAAGCTTTGCGCTTTCTGCGGTGGTTTTGCGTTTTCTTACGAGAACTGAGACAACTTTGAATTCACGATTGAATCCGGAAAAATCAAATATCGACAGGATTTTACTGCATAAATATGTGAACGCTAGTTATTCCGAGTTTCGAAGAAAGAGAGGAATATATATATTCGGTTGTTTTTTTATTCAGACCAATTTTTAAAAAGTTGACGGCGTATGGGCATCGACCCTCAAATCTAACAATATACCAAGCGAGTATGCTTGCACTAGACTAATATGCCACTTTGCTGCTGAAGTAACACTTTGATAAAATGTTTTAATACGTGAATTACTTTTGAGTGACATTTTATCCGCACGCATAACCGTTCTAAACTGAATTGAGGCTAATTGCGAAAATTAGTATTTATTGGAGTTTGTAGAGCTAGAACTTATTAAAATATGTAACTTACGTAATTCAGCTTGAGTTTTTACAAACCTTTTGACGTAATCAGGGGCGGAGTTAGGGGGCGGTGGGGGCCGACCAACCCCAAAATTTTTCTTTATGCGCCTAGGCGCCAATATATACTAATTTTGAAGAGGAGCGCGTTCCGAAAAAATGCAATTTTAGTCGAAATTTTCCAAAAAAGTGTCCGAAAACCGAATTTTTGACGTGTTTCTTCAAAATGTGCCTGCAGCGCTGAATTTTTGATCAAAGAATAGGGTCTTCAGAGTGCTCTGGAATCGCTCAAAAAAACCAATTTGGTCGACCTCAAAAAAAGGTTTTTTAAAAAAATTACACTAGTCGCAGTTTAGAATTCGAAAATTTGAAAAATGGGTTGGAAGTTTTTTCCGTTTCACCAGTTTAAAGGAAGTCGACTGGTTGAAAGTGTTCTGACATTCGGAATTTATATCATAACAATATAGCCTCCCGTATGTGGAAAAAGAGAGATTTGGCGTTTACTCTGGACAGACACTGATTCTTTTGGGCTGATCCAGGGTCCCAGCATCTGGGTGCAGGAGTGCTGGTCGAAGGGGAAGAAGTGGGCATCCAGGTTGCAGAGGAATTCTGCCCTAATCAGGCGAGACAAGTGGGTGTGTCCGGAGGCATTGATCCAGATGGGCACTTGCAGAGATTTAGTTAGCTGGTGGCCGCCGATCTGGTTGAAGAACACTAAAAGTTAACGAAGAAATGTTGTTTCTATCTGGCAAATGCATTGAATGTTAATCAAATAGTTTTCGTATTTATCATAGCAGGAAAAATCTCGATTTGATTTCTAAAACCAGACGCGGATTCAGGAGATGTTCTAGGGGCAGTCAGGCAGTCTGTATATTTACGAATATTGAGATCAGAAACCAATTAACAATATCAATTAGCTAATGAGTTAGCTTTTTTTACTTTAAAACAAAATGAAAGAATTTTTTGACATCAACCTCAAAAGTCCCCAAAACAAAAACATTTCATTGAAGCTCTTATATTTTTGCTTCAATAAACAAACGTATAAGTAGACCAAAAATTTTGGGATGTGATGCTGGCTTATCATTAGCCTGATGGTGCTCATAAAAAACTATCAACCATCTGTTGAAAAGATATTTCAAAAATTTTTCAGTCATCTGTTTAAAAGAGTATTTCAAATAGATTTTCCAAATTGGGCAAAAATTACAAACGCAGTGAGCTGCTTCAGTACTGCTTAAGAAGTGTGAAAAATGCTCGGCCTGCGTGGGTTGAAGAAACTTTCACTGCTTACTGACCTAAGTCTGGGAGCCAGTTGTCCGCGTTTTCAGATAAAAATACTCTTTCGTGTCCATCATAATCATTGGGGTCCCAGGACACCATCTGGTTGTGCCAATTTAGGGCAATGAAAACTGACAAGTCCAACACCTGCATGCATACACAAATTCAAAATTTAGGGCAATGAAAACTGACAAGTCCAACACCTGCATGCATACACAAATTCAAATACCATTAACAAGGGTTTGTAAAAAGATGGCTGTTAAATACTCAATTGACTGTATTCTAGTTCGCATAAATAAGAGAGTGAACTAGAGTTCAACACATAACAGCTAGACAGCTTTTAGTTGATTGACAGGCAGGTACCAAACTCACACTTAATTAAAGTATGAGAAATAAGAATAGCAACTAAGATGATTGACAACTAGGATGATTGACAACTGAACATATTGTAGCCCCTGACATTTCCGTATGGATGTAAAATTTAAATACATAGTAATTTAAATTTAAATATAATAACTACACCTTCAAAATGCCGCCTCAACTATACTGCAACAAACACTTGAGTTTTAACAACTTGAGTTTTAGGCTTATGGCCATCCCTCTCCCTGGGTTAACGAGTTTTTGAATAAATGTAGAAATAAGATTCATTTCCCTTCTCCCCCTGGATGTTTTCCTGTTTGTTCCGCCCCCTGGATAGTTTCAATCATAACTCCTCCCATTTTGTCTACTGGCTTTCTCCTTCTAGTACTCCTTCTGGTTCCCGAGCTTTCACTTTGGCTGCCTGATTCAACGTCTTCTTCTTGACTACTATTTACAAGACACTCCCGCGCCACTAACGCTGGACGTTCCTGGCTTTCCTTCGCTTGTTTTCTTTGGCCCCCTTTTCCTCGCTTAGCTCTTGTCACTCTGGATTTGGCTTTAGCTCCCGTTCCACCTTCCATTACTGTCGTACTGCCGCTTGGGCTTTGTCCCGCCGCAATTGCTTCGCGTCTCGCTAGCATTTCTACCGGTAGTCTTGCCGGAATGTTCAATGGCTGATCGTCTTCAGTATCCGAACTGTCGGACTCGAAGGTGGCTACTTGTACCGTCCGCGTAGTCTTAGCTCTTTTTGATTTCGGGCTCACGACTGCTCCTTTCTTTGCGCTCGCTAGCATATCCTTGAGCGTAGCCGGTTTCCGTTTCTTGGGAAGGTCAGGTTTCGGTTTTGATGCCACTGCACTTTTCCTAAGAACGGATCCGTTTTTAAGTTTCAAAGTATGTTCGGATTCAGAGATTACATTGGATTTTAGTAATTTATACCGATTTAGGGTCTTGCTGGTAGTACGCTGGTATAGGGTGCGTCCTCCTCCACTCCCCTGGATGTTAGGGCCAGTGTCTCCACTCCCTTGGATTTGTGGTCCAACTTCCGATCCCTCCCTTGGACATGCGTCCATTTGTTGGTCACTATCCAGCGTGATAGGGGCCCTTCGGAAAGTTGGAGCGTATGTTAGATCCGACCTCTCCTCCCAATTCGAATGCTGAGGGAATGCAACTTTACTCATCTCAGGATCAGTTTCGTCTAAACACAAACATTTTTGTTTTAAGACGTTCTTCCAATTCAAGTTTTTCAAACTTGGTTTTTTCGTAAGGTTTCGTAAAACGGTATTGGCCTCCCTGCCGTGATGAGCTTCAAAAGGTGTTAATTTAGTAGTTGCATTTTTTGAGAATCGTAGGGCGCCTAGCGCTATATCGACCATAGATTCTAGAGACTTATGTTCTTTTTCTGTCGCATATGTTAAGACAAAATTCTTCAAACTTCCTATTGTCCGTTCAACGGACCCCGTGCCTCGATGATCATTCACTGGGGAGTACATTAGCTCGATGCCTTCTTCGTTACAGAAGCTTTTAAATTTATTAGAAGAAAAACATGATCCCTGATCAACGTGGATCTTCCGAGGTACTCCATGATGCGATATGTACTTATTAAGGAATTTTAAGACCTTATCTGACGTATTAGTGGTAGTAACCATTGCTGACGGCCACCTTGAGAATCGGTCCGTAGCAACCAAAACTTATTTCTTACTTTCGTTCAAGTAATTTATCGGCCCCCAGAATTCCAACTGTAAACATTCATTGGATTCCCTTGGTTCGGGGACCTTGCCCATGTCTCCCTTGGGTAATAACGGTTTTAGATTCTTACCCGCTTCCGTGCATTGCTGACAGTACGTGGCCTTTGCTGCCAAACTGCGGTACATGTAAGGATACCAGACGTCGCGCGCTGCTTCGAACATATTTCTTTTACCGTGATGGTAATAGTGTATCCGCGATTCAACTGGAAATTGCAAAGGTAAAGGGATGACCAACCGTCCATCCAACCACACACAATCGTCCCGTAACGACAGATCGTTAGCGTATTGAGCCCAGTACTTCCCAATCTTTAGGAGTTCTTCCTTCAAGTTTGTCTTCTTCTCCAATGCTTCTTTTACTCGTACTAAGTTCACATCCGCTGGTATGTTCGAGGCAACAAATTCTAAATTAAAAAGTTCTGGTAACGATTGAGACTTCTTGATAACCTTGCAATCACGAGGAATGATGGACATAATTTGCTGATTCGGATTAACAGTAGGAAAAAGCTCGCCTGGAAATTTCGAAGGTATGGAAAGTACTGTATTAATTTTGGAATCCCGTGTGTTTTTAGTAATTGCAACAATTTCAGGGTTAATGACAGTTATTTCATCGCTACTCAATAAATTTTCATCTAATCTAAGCGGAGAGTTGATCTGAGGTTGTAGTATATTCGGATTGTTAGTTTGGGAATCAATTGTATCGTTTTCAACATTTTCAATTTCAAATACTGGGAAAGAACAATTAGAGTCGCTATCCATTTTGTTTGAGTGTTTAGATGTAGGCAAATTTAACCGTCTTCCAAGGGAACAATATATAGAGCACACTGAATGTCCCTTGGATTTATTTGATTTACGCGTTATGCAAATTGATCGTTTCCTATTGGTCGTTGTCTTCACGCATGACTTTCCGCCCTCAACCGTCGCTGGTTGTATGCATGTTATTCGTTCTCGCTTGTGATTGGATGAAAACCGTCTAGACTGTTTAGAACCAGTTTCTCGAATATTCTGATAATTTCGTTTACCAAGGGGTTTTAATTCATTTGTAAAACCATGGGATTTTCTGATCGAAGCGGTTTTTGCCACGGTGAACAAATTATCATATTGACTTATCGGTTTAGGGGGTTCGCTAGAATGCCTCGACAAATAATCTGCCAATCCAATCTTGGCGCCCGGTTTGTGTTCTATTACAAAGTCAAAAGGAATCAGTCTGTCCAGCCAACGTGTCAGTCTTGAAAAAAGTGTTTTGTTTTTCTTGTTATTCCCGTTAAGTAATGAAATTAAAGCCTTATGATCGGTAATGACTGTAAATGATCTCCCTAGGATGTAATTTCTAAAATACTTGGCCCCCCATACCACTGCCAGCATCTCAAGCTCGTTAGTGGAATATTTTTTCTCGGCTGCGTTTAAGAATCGTGATGCAAAAGATATAGGGCGCCACCCTTCGGTACCCAATTGCTCTAAAACCGCTCCAAGGCCATTGTGACTTGCATCGCAAACAACTCTAATATCCTTATGAATATCAAAGTGTTTTAATTCAACTATGTTCGCTACCCCCATTTTAATATTTTGGAAAGCATTTTCACTTTCCGCGGTCCAGTTATATTCGTTCTTCTTGCTGAGAAGTGGCCTTAATGGAGCTGACATCTCCGCTATCGCCGGTAAATATTTATGCAAGCTGTGGATTGAGCCCATAAATGACTTTAATTGCGTGACTGTTTTAGGAGCTTTTAGTGCGTCTATCGGCGATGTTTTTCGTTTAAGAGGCGTAACCCCCGTTTCGGTTATACGATGGCCAAGCCACTCGCATTCGGGTTTCGCAAACTCTTATTTTGGTAACTTCAAGGATATGTTTTCGTGGTTTAGTTTCCGGAGGATCTTTTCAACCAAGGAGATATGTTCTACTTCCGTTCCCTTGGTTGTAACCAAAATATCATCAATAAACGCGTTCGCTTGTGGGAATTCGTTTAAAATTGAGTCCATTACTCGCTGGAACTCTGCCGGCATTGACGTTAGCCCGTAAAACCCTGTTCGGAAGCGGTAAGTTCCTGTCGACCGTCCGCCCACCAAAGAAAAATTACAGTGCACGCTCGTTTCTTCACTAAGCGGTAGTTGCCCATACGCGTACGTTAGGTCCATCGTAGTAAAGTACACTTCCCCTTGTTTTTTCTCGGATATAAGTTGTCCTATTGTATCTACAAGTTCTTCTATATTTGGCATCTGGTATTTGTTTTTATGCACTTGTTTATTAAGCTCTCGTGATTCCAATGCTAATTTTACGGACCCGTCTTTTTTCACGGTGATGACGATCGGAGAAACAAAGTATCGATCCGAACACTCTTTCAATTTTTCTATATGTCCCTGGGTTAATAGCTTATCGATTTCTTTGTCCACTTTTTCTTGGAGCGTTACCGGCACTCTCCGTCCCTTCTGCTGCACCGGTACAAGATTTTTGAAAAATTCTGCTTGAACTTTGTAGTTCCTAATTTTTCCAACTCTAGTAAAAAGTTTTGGGAATAGCTTACTGAAGTATGATTGCCATTGATCCATCTGCTCATCCTCCGGTTCATCGTGCCCCTCCTTGCATGAATTGTCCTCCGCCCCCTGGATGTTCATGATTTCCCCCTTTGGATCTGCTTGCATCAACTGGAGTCCAAGTTTCCCCATCAAATCACGTCCCACGATGGATGGTCTGGTCCCCCCAATGACTCGGACTTCTGCTGTCGTCTTCCAGCCGTTTGATGCTAATTCGAGTTCCATTCTGCCCAACATCTTGATCCGATTGTTACTGTAGTCTCGAAATTCGTCATCGTCAGTGTTATCCTGCTTCAAGTTGATTCCCGCTCTTCCCACTGTTCTTCTCAAATCTTCTAGTGTTAGAATGGAAATCGGCGATCCACTGTCGATCCAAATGTTCATTTGGTGCCCATTAATGAATATTTTGAGTTTAGGCCCGGCAACTTTCAACACCGTTTCCTTCTTCCGTCGAATTGCCATAACCATGTAATCGTCTGAACTTTCTGATGACCAGTTGTGGTGTTCTCGTTTAACGAAACCTACTGAATTTGCCGCAGCTTGGGGCTCCACGTCATCCGAGGGGGTATCTTCTTCGTCGAAGAGTTCATCCCCTTGGATCAGTCCAACTGGTTGTCCCCCCCTGGATTGTCGTTTTCCACGGCAAGTCCTCTCAAAGTGCCCAATCTTTTTGCAGAAGTTGCATGTGACGGCTCTTGCTGGGCATCGTTGTCGGTGTTCTGGGGTGAAGTTCGGTTGATCGCAGTTGTAACATCTGCGCTCTTGCATTCGATCGGTTGTTCGACCTCCTCCACGATTTGGGTATTGACCCCGTCCCCTTGGCATTCCTCGTCCCCTGGATCCGCGAATATTACTGACTGGTTCCGTTTTGATCTGTAAGGAACCCCCTGGCGATGGATGCGCCATTCCCGTGGAACCGGATACGGCGCCCTTGTAGCTCCTTGCGTATTTGTCTCCTCTTTCATATGACATTGCGATGCGCAATGCTTCTTCCGGGGTTTTAGTTTCCCGACACAGCTCGTTCTGTGCGTCCCTGTTCCTCATGTTGAAAATAAATATGTCTCTCACCATTTTCCGCTCCTGGGTGCCCAAATTGCATCTTGCCGCCATTCCGCTAAGTTCTGCATAGAACGATTCTAGACTCTCACCCTCCTTTTGTTTCCTCGACAACATTTGGTACATCTCGTACCTTTCGTTCCGCTCTTTCTGAAAAAGAGTTACACAGGTATCCAAAAAACGTGGGTATCGTACTGTTTCCATATCTAAGTGTGGATGTTGATTATGCAAAGCTCTCTGTCCCTCATGTCCCAGGCATAAATACAGATTCGATATCAGTGTACGTTCACCTTCTGCCCGTGGTTTTCCACCAATGTCACCCAGGTCTGCGATCTGTGCTTCAGTTAATGTCGATGGAAAGTAGTAGTCTGACGAGACTAGTCCATGTTTCGCCACCATTGCCCAATGAAATCGTTGTTTCCAGTGTTCCCATAAAAGTTGCGGTTCCGCCTGAGTTGAGGCCAGAAAGCCACAATTCCAAGGGGGTTTTTCCCCTCACCATCCACTGGCTGCGCCATAACAAGGGTTTGTAAAAAGATGGCTGTTAAATACTCAATTGACTGTATTCTAGTTCGCATAAATAAGAGAGTGAACTAGAGGTCAACACATAACAGCTAGACAGCTTTTAGTTGATTGACAGGCAGGTACCAAACTCACACTTAATTAAAGTATGAGAAATAAGAATAGCAACTAAGATGATTGACAACTAGGATGATTGACAACTGAACATATTGTAGCCCCTGACACCATATCATCTAGAAAAATGCACAACTAACCAGGGGCGGATTTAGGGGGGCGGGGGCTTGGACGTTCCCCTCAGGGATTCGACCCCCTGCCGACCCAAAGGCTCCCCCCTTTGGTACTTTTTAAGAAATAGATTTTTGGCCGATCGACACTAAAATTTTTCTAAAGGCGCCGTCGGCGCCAATATATACTAATTTTGAGTGGGGAAAACGCCTTTTTTGGCCTGTAAGTGTCAAAAAACGCCTTTTTTGGACTTTTTTTCAAATTTCGCGCACAAATTTCGGTCGGCCAAAACAGGGTCTTTTTAGTGCTTTAGGAGAGCTCGGAAAATCACCTAAATAAACCTTAAAAAAATGTCAGCAAACTTCGCCCCCCCCCCCCCCCCTCGAGAAAATCCTAGATCCGCCCCTGCAACTAACCAAAAAGCTGGTTTAATGTTAAATACGAGCTTTTTTTATCATAAAAAATCAGCTGGAGAAACATTAAATGGATGTAAATTTTAAGCACCATTTTATACCAATTTGATACTATTATATGAAACCTATTTTGGCCTGCAAACCCTAAATAGCGCTCGACGAAGACATCGATTGGTGGTCAGAACTTTTCAAAAAGACTATTTTTATTGCTTTGCTCTGCACTTAAAGCTAGATCCTTTTTAAGCAGAACCCAGAACCCAAAAAGTTCTTTTTCAGAACTAAACTGCTTACTACTATTTAAACAAAATAAGAATGGTTAAGAATGTAATTTGAGTAACCTGATGGACGACATCGAGTGAGTTGATTTGAAATATTTCAAACTCCACCCCCACCACTACCTGCTGCTGACTCATCCCCACCACCTCCACCTCTCCCTCCCTCACTGGCCTGACAGCGGCACTGCAGTTTTGGAGTACGTCATTGGCCAACCGTTTACCAACATTGGCTAAACTGATACTGCTGCTGTTGTCGTGAGTAGCTGAGACACTCACGAAATTTAGCGCTCTATTAAAACAGAATTGATTTGTTTTCTATCAGTAAGAACTTCCTTTCAAAACCAGAGTTTTTTCTGTTTATAGTCCATGCCAGAAAAGCGTGACTGAGCCGAGTCGACCTCGATTTATAATTAAGCACCGTGACGTCCCAGTACGTTACGTTTTCGCAAAAAGACGAATTATTGTTTTGGCTTCTTTCAAAGAAATTGACGGAATGTTTGCACTCGAGTTTTTTTTTCAAGACAAACTTCGATTTTTAACTAGCAGTTTTTGACGGACTTTCCTATCACTCAAAGTATCATTTTTGTTGTCCTGAATTCCCATTCAAAAAGATAATCCACACGGGATCGTTTTTGAAAAGTTCTAGGGAATTAATAATAGCAAGTTTAGCCAATTTGGGATAATTAATATATTTCATGCTAAATAAAGCGTAAGCGGAGATTGATACGTATTAGAAATTAATCCAATTTCAATTGAGTCCTCCTACTTGGTCAAGTAAATACTTTGCCATATGCAAAGAATATCACTTTGTACTCTACATAGCGTGTAGTGGTATGGTTTTCAAAAATGTAGGTGGATATAGCAAAATCTATCAACTTAAACCTTATATGACGTGTGTGGGGATGATCATTTTAACAAAAAGTCTCAAACTTAAAACAAAGTTTCATTTTTTTTACAATTAATTTTTTTTCATTTTAATAGTGCTCCACAGACTTTAGCGCGCAGTAGAACAATCAAAGCTTCGCGCTGATACGAACATTCTTGTTTCATTTGCGAACACTTGGCAAAACTCAGTAGAAACGAAATTATATAATTAATGATGTAAATTAAATTATTACTAACGAAAATTCTGCGTTACTGATTTTTGAAGGATGAAGTTCGCTGCGAAAGAAGACCAAAAATGGCAGAGCCAATTTTGCTGACAGGTTTTGAATTGCCGCTGGCCCTACAGAAAAATCAAAATAAAGAGCAGTTCCTTTTGCACGAATCTGGTCCCCAAGATGAAAACCGGGTTATTGTGTTCGTCACATTACATGTGTTTGACCTACTATCTTTGTCAGTTGATTAGTTCTGCGATGGAACGTTTTCGACTGCTTCCAATGTATTTTATCAAGTTTATCCAAAAACGCTTCAGTTGAAGGATTCCGCATTCCTCTTACTTACGCTCTGCTACCCGACAAAAAGAAACCAACTTACTTTCACCTCCTCAGTATTCTAAGAGATGAGTACCCAAAACACGTTACAATTGATTTGGATATAGTTGCGCGAAATAGTTTCCCATCAGAGAGCTCAATAGGAGGAATCAAACTATTGTCGTTTCTTCAGTACTCTTTGAAATAGCTGTGCCAAGTTTAAAAGTGGCTACCTATAAAGCGCCCAGTAATAAACAAATTTCCGAGTTCAACTATTTTCCTTGATTTATCAAAAAGGAGCTAGAGTCGATTTGAAACCGGTAAAAAATGGATACATACAAGGTATTGATTTTTCCCCCTCGCTCAACTCTTCAAGGTTGAACCCATTGTTGTACTGTAGATATACCCGTTATCAAATTTACCTAAATTTCATTTTTTTTCCTCAAAATTGGAAAGTGTTTTGTTCCGCCGAGGTTTCGATCCTTCAATCTATAGAGTTTAGTCTAACGCTTTGACCAACATACTCTGAGGCCTTTGCTTTTGTTTCGAAGTTTGGTTTTTTGATCTTTATTTAAGCTCATGATTGATTGTTCAATGCGTTAAATAATTCTTGTCGGTGCAGAAAGTTCAAGATAATTTGGGAGAGTTTTGTATGGGACTGGTTTGTATAATCACCTTGATTCTAAGTAGTCACATAATTTAATTTCAAATACTTAGAATGTATTTATCACCATGTTTCAAAAACGTACTAAGTAAATTTCCGCTCTGAGACGCTTGTGAACAAACCTGTAGACCAATGGTGCTCTCCTTGGCAATAAAATTGTTGGCGTGGCTTATGAATTTATTAATTACCTACAATGAATTACCTGAAAATAATTTATTATGATTGTTATTATTATTTGATATCCAAAATCTGGATTCAAAAAACTAAACAACCATGGTTGCTATCATCGCCTAAGTTTTGTTTGATAGAATTGGGGATATGAAAGAGGGACATTTTTTGTGATTGTATGCACCGGAGAGTTTTTTTATTCATTGTAAGATATTTTTGTCAATGAAACAAAATAATTTATTCTGGTTGCTTCGTGCAAAAACTTGACACGTTAAACAGACATTTCTTGCTCTTTTGAATCATAAAAATTTTTAAAAGAATTTTATAAGAACGCTTTAAAAAATGAAAAATTGCACCGCAAATTTCCGGAAAAAAAAACGCGGGACCAAAAAAACTTGACTCATTGACCAGGGCACATGTAATGGCTCTCTGAATATCCTCTGACTATCTAAAAAAAGTCCCTTCCATCCAGCCCTGATCCAGCGATTCAGCCCGTTCATCTTCCTTTGATCCCGATATCCATTTTAACCAGTGGTCATTGCCCACATATTTCGATTGGGTAGCCACAGCAAAAAATAACTATCTAATTGTCTCTTCAAATTGTTTTTTTTTTGTTTTATTTCTGGGACACACCTGCCCACTCTCATCACAAAAATCCTAAATTGATTTGTCTAAAATACAAAAATCGTTTTCTTTTCATTTTTTAAAGCTACAGCGATTTCCAGGCTTCTTAATTTGACTTGAAAGCAGTTTTCGATAGGACTTTTGAGCCGTTTTGTTTCCGGGTTCAGATGGCGTGTCATTGCTTTTGTGATACGGGTTATTAGTTTTTTTTACTATGAAATATTTGGGCTATTGAAAAATAACCCCATGAAATTGAAAGCAAACTGGGAATATCAACCAGATGGTTCGACACGCAATTAGATTTCCTTTAAAGGAAAATTTTAAAAAATACAAGTGCCTGTAGTAAATTTATGGTTTGCACAAGATGCGAATATTTTGGCTGGCCACTTTATGATAGTTGGCTCTGTATCGGAAGCCATCAAAGGTCTTATTCACACCCAGGCTGAAGTGCTCGACTCATGATTCGATCGAAACGGACACAAAGTCGAAAATTGTAGATAGTTTGCCTCAAAAAGTCTAAAATGAACATCGTACAACGATGCCCGTTTTCGACTTTTTGACTCGAACTATGTCCATTTTCGACTTTGTTCGAATATATCGGAAAATGTTCGACTTAGTTTGACTTTGATCGACTTTATTCGACTTCTCCGGACATGCGTTCGACTTTGTTCTAAATAATTTGTTTAAAAAGACTCAAGCCAAAAGCACCGCCCACGTCGAGGTCGTAGTTTCATGTTCAAACCAGGTGAATAAGGCGGAGCTAGTTTTTTTGAGAGGGGGCTTCTTACAGAGAAGACAAGCTTTTGAGAATTATGACAAAAAGATCGTCATAACAAAAAGGTTTTGTCCCGAAAACTGCGTTTTTCAAAGCTCCCCCTCAAAATCAACGTGCCATAGTATTTGGTATGCCGTCGTAAATTGGTTAAAAAAACCTTAATTTGTAAGCTCGTGGCGTAGAATTACTAGGTCGTGGCGTCCACCGTTCATTCATAAATTCAACCCAGAGCCTATATTAGCCATTATTGAAGGTACCAAGTGAACTATGTTTCCCCATGCTATCGTGATTTAGGGGCATTTTCCATTTTTTTTTCTAAATTTAGTTTTCAGACATAAGCTTAAATTAATTCAATTAACCGTTTCCTCTGAAGCAAAACACTTACGAACAAAAATTTTGATGATATGACACTATAAAAATGTCAAATTGGAAAAACCTACCAACAAAAAAACCGTATCTTACAGTTCCAATTAGTCTATGGAAAAATTGCTCAGCGTATAAGTTTGTGAAAGATTTAATAAATTGGTGACAGATTATTGTTCGTCAAAAATTTCATTTTATTTAAATGGAAAAATGCTTTGCATTGCATACAGTTTCCATTCATAAAAACTGTATGATAAGCGTTTTTTACTTTTTACAAAAGTTCCTAAATTGAAGAAAAAAATAGTTTTTTTAGTTAGTCATTACATCAATTCTCTGCTCAAAGTAATATTTCTAAACACTTTTGCAGGCAAAAATTTCTTTCCTATAAATTGAACAGAAGAAACAAAATCGAAAAAGTTTTTTTTTCACACAAGACTTATTAAAGAAACAAAAGGAGTCTTTCCACATAAAAAACTCGATGAAGATTTTCTGTGATGTCAGCATTTTTGTCTTTCCCTTATTTTAAAATGAGTTCATAATTTAGTGATTCGGTTTTAATTTTTTCAACCGCTAAATTCCTCGAAGTAGAGATTTCATTGCATGTACAAAAAATATATTTCTCATGATTCTAATGCTGTGTGAAATTCAATAAATTACCTCAATTTCCTATCTCAATGTGTATCAAGTTAAAGTTTTTCTCATTTAAAACAATTTCATTAAAATCAAAAAATTTAGCGAGTTGAAAGTCACTGATTTCAATTTTGAAAAAAAAAATTGAAAATTGAAAGTCTCTGATTTCAAATTTGGAAAAACCATGCTGTTTTTGTAAGGTTTTTGATTGCACGGAATTGTATGATAAGCGTCATCCAGGTTGGTAAGATCGTTAGTATGGGCGACTTGGAGTTTGGTTTATTTGAATCAGCGTTGGTGTTTATCTTAGAGTATTCTGTCCTGACTAAAAATTTTTTTTTGCGAGTAAGTGACTGCTTAAAAACGTGTGGCGGAATGTTGTACTTGCATAGACTATAGGTAAATTATTGATGACTCAGTTTCACGAATTTTCATTGATGATTCAATGTTGTTTCCTGCAATTTTTTCAAGCGATTAAGTAATTTTTATCAATAAATCCTGTCGGCGTTGAATCAGCGAGCGATGTAAGTCCGTTGAATCAGTGATGAGTTAGCAATGTTTCATTGATGAGTTAGTGCTGTGACAAAAACTTTTTAATTAGACTATTTTTGAAGGCTGCAAAAATAAATCTATGATTTTACATGATCCGTCAAGATATGATTTTTGACCAAATAAAGGCATAACAAATGGGGAATCATTGTTTTTCTTCAAAATTGCTATAAACTATTTTAGCTAACAACAAGACTGCTCGTATCAGGGCAAAGCCTTGAAAGTTCCAACTGCCTTTTAAAGTCAATGAAGCTGTAAAAACGTGAAAAAAATTGAATGTAAAAAATTAAAACTGATTTTTTTTTCCAATTTGAAAATTTTTGTGAAAATCATCCCCCACGCATCATATAAAGTACAAAGTGAATTTCGCTTCTTTTTAAAAATAATTTATAGCAAATAAGCTTCCTTCAACCAATTTGGAACGGTTTTTACGATTGATTAAATCTACACTTACACGTTAATAGTGCGAAAATTATGTAAGTTAATTGCCCCACACTGGCCAAAATGGCAATCTTTAAAACTCCAAAATTTTATAAAAACTGATCACAGGTGAAAAATATTTTCAAAGTGAAGGTGAGGACAACAATACTTTTTGAATGATAAAAAAATCCGTCAAAAATGGCTAGTTAAAAAGTCTAGTTAAATTTGTCTGAAGAAAAAAAACCCACCCCGAGCAATTACTTTCGTTAGGAAAGTCGGAACAATGATGACGGAATCCAGCGACAATTATTAGATTTTACTTCAACGGTCAAAATGCGTTTGGCTTTAGATTCCACTGAAATGTAATAACTTAATCGCATTTTGTGTAGGCATCAGTTTTTTGTTACAACTACCGAAGAAAGGGACGGATTATTTGGGCTCGGGGATTTCTCTTCAGACAATTTTTGATTTCTTAAATAACTGTTTTCGACGTTTTTCATCATCTGAAAGCTTTTGATTTCAGGTGAAATTTTTTTTATCTGTGATCAACTGTTGTAGTTTTGTGAGGGTTTGAAATTGCCGATTTACCCCCATATGATATCATCAACGATTTGAGCTATTAACGAGTAACTAGTGGACACCCCTCCCAATCAGGGATTCGGCCCCTGCCGGTCCAAAGGGTTCCTCTTTTTTGCTATTTTGGGGTATCGGGTATCCATTTTTGGCCGACTGACCTTAAAAATTTTCTAGAGGCGGACTTATATTAATTTTGAAGGGGACGTTATAGTCCCTGCAGTTTTCGAGGTTGATTTTTGCCCGGATTTTTGCCAGGTAGGGCTAGCCAGGGTCAAATAGCAGAAAATCCATAATTAGGCAAGCCGGATTATTTGAATCTCCATCAATGTAAACAAAAAAAACTTCATCGTCGTTAACAAAGGGCAGTCGGAACCTTCATGACTTCAGGATCTGTTTTGTTTCTTTTTATTTCCGGTTATTCCTGTTTTATGTTAACTTTTCTTTTCTCTAGAAGCACTGGGACGAGCACGCAGAATGGGCATAAACATTATTAATTTAGAAACGTGGTCCAAAAGATCTTAAGAAATCCTATTCATAATTTTTTTGCTCGCAAAAAGAGAGATCATGAAATATACAGGAGGACAAAAATATTAGCATATGGAAGATTTTTAAGTCAAAAAGAAGGCAATATGTCATGTTAAAGTCCTCTCAATTCGTAACTCTATCAATTTTGAAATTGGCAAAAAATGATTTTAAAATTTTTGTTTTCAGACCAGTTTATCTTGGCGGCGAGAGAAAATGATTTTAACTTTTTTGAGATATTGATTTTTGGTGACGGACCCCAAAAACGTTCTAAGAGCGCCTTCGGCGCCAATATATACTAATTTTGAGTTGGGAGCGCGCGCCGGGAAAACGCGTTTTTTTGTTCAAAATTTTGCAAAAACTGCCTTTGAAAACTTTTTTCGGCCTGTTTTTTCAAAGTTTTGTCTGCGGCGCAGAAATTTTGGGCGAAACCGGGTCTTTGTAGTGCTGTGTGAGAGCTTGGAAAATCAATTTGGTCGACGTAGAAAAAGTCGACAAGTTTTCGAAATTTTTTTGAAAATCCCTCCTGCAATTACTCTACTTACATCATCTACGACTAAGTAAGTAGAGTCATCAATATTTGATCTTGAATCTGAAATAACCTTTCACTTCTGATGATCAGCGTCTAACAAGTCTTCTGAGACAATTCAACTTACCCACAATGCCTTATTTGACCCAGTCTAAATTGTTCTTACAACCAAAACGTAATAAAATTCCAAAATAAGGTGCTCAATCTACCTGTATTCTAGTAAAACGTGACTTTTGCGAATTAATTCACCATTCTCCAACCCTTTTGATCCCCCAACAGTCAGTTCTGACTAAGTAAGAGCAGGTTAAAATTTTTAAAATCACATTCTTTTTTTTTTGAATGAAATCAGTCGTTAAATAATGAATCGCAACAAACAGCAATCTTTTTGCATGCATGTTTATAAATCTGGCATAAACTACTGGTATTGTTTTTTTTGGATGGAGATAAAACTTCGGATAAATAGGAACTTATCTTAGATCAAAATCCCTATAAATGCGGTTGTTTTAAGTATAAACTAAAATTACGTCACAATTTCCTATCCCCAGATATAACTTTTCAGAAAAAAAAGATTTCTCGTATCAGGGTGGAGCCCTGAATATTCCGACTGCCTTTTGAGGACTATGGAGCAGTAATAACATAAAAAAAACGAATGTAATAAAATGAAATGAAAATTTTTTTTTCTAAAATTTGACATTTTTTAGGAAAACCAATAAATTGTAAAGAAAACTCTTGAAACTGAGAAAATTTTCAAAAAACCATTCTTAAATTAATCATATTTCATGACTTTATGACAAATTGTTCGGCTTGAAGTCCCTACTTTTTTGCAATTCGGCTTGAAGTCCCGTTGGCTTAATGTCCGGCACCTTTTTCTTCCAACCCAAAAAAGCTTTCAACTTTTCATATAATTGCCCGGGTTGAGCTCACATTGAAAATTAGCAGTAAAAAAACAACAGCGATTGCCATTGATGAGTCATCGATGTTCATTGCCACAATAGCAAACTTTACCGATAAATAGTTTATCGCTAAATTGCCTAACTTTCAGCGATGAAACAGCGATAAAAAAACCTATCAAAATGAGCAAAAATAGTGAACTACCTGGATTCGCTCCCACAACATTCAGTTTTTTTTTACTTGCAAGTAACCTCTGCGCCATCAACCCTTAGATATTCGCAAGTTAAAGGGCTGATCAACTAAAACTCTCTTTTGAAGCTACTAGAATGGTTAAAATTTCTGAAGTTGCAGCGCTGATTTTCTACGGAATCAATTGCGAAATAGCTCTGAAATATCGCTCTGAAGTTTAGCTATGTAAAAAAACTCTGAATTATACATGAATCAGCGCTGGAAAATGGCGATTCAGAACAATATAAAAAATAGCGGATCAACCGTACAATCCCCCTTCCTAAATCGATTTTGGAGGGAGAAAATATGGATTTTTAATAGGCTAATTTTGAGCATAGCCTAGATTTGTTCAAATTTAACCGTATTACTAAAGAAAATTGAATTACAACATTAATGTTTGTAACACAGCATACAATTTTTTTCAGAATTAATTCAAGCTTAGGGGGGATTGCACGGTTGATTCAAAATAGAAAATATAGTTTTAGAAAAAAAGTTTTTGGAAAATTTTGTTTTAGAACTAAGTTGATACAAATTTATTGATACCAGGAAATAAGAGTAAAATTTAGACCAATATTTAGGCTAAAGAATTGCAGAAATTTATACTGACGAAAATAGATTACATAACAAACAGACGGTGAAGAAAAATCAGAAACTTTCTATGAGATAACATATCTATACCGTCTCAGTTTTTAACGGGACCGTACATCTAAACGGGTGCCAGAAAAGTTCAATAACAAAGAAATTACTCACGGAAGAACATTCAACACCACGAGCAGTCTTCGGAATGAAAAACTGGTCGCCATCATTGCAAAAATCAGCTCCAAATGAATTGAATATGTGCTGACGGTAATTTGAGTTAACTTCAACACAAGTAGTCAAATCCTCCAATAAGAAATTTCTGTTTTGCTTTTAGAGTTTTCTTTCAATGGAACCCAGTTAAATCAGATAAATTTGATGCGAAGAACTAAATAAAAAGAATTTATCGAACTGTTGAGAAAACCGTTTAGAAAAGCAGAACTGACACTATCAAAAACAGGAAATCACCTCAAATAGCTTCAAAAGAATAAGAGCTACTTTTGTTCATTCATCGATGTGGAATTATCGTTTTAATCTGCAAGATGAATTATGATTTGCTTCCTGATAACTTTGATTTCGCCAACTTAAAGTGACGGTCTGCAGAAAGTCAGGTCAAAATGCTTTTATAAAAAATGAGCTCGAAATAAAGAAGCGCACAAGACCTCCTTAGATTTGAATTCGAGTTCAGACGCAGGTATAGGTTACAAATTAGTAATAAGTTCACTGCGTCAGGGACACTTTACAGGAAAATTTTGTCTATCTAGAAGCACCACATGCCTGTTCCCTTCAAATGAGAAAGGATTTGTTCGTACAATAAATCCTTCAATAATTGATCCTTTAATAAACTTTCAATGAAGATTTTGAAATAACTGGTTTTCTAATAGATAAAAAATTACGCAAATGTTTGATTTCTTATGGTAAATCTAGACATAAATAATCAACGTGACCAATTTTCTTCCAGTGACACTAAAACAGTTCAGTTCATGTGTCTCAAGTTATGGTTTCTTTGTTTATCAGAGAAAGCCTTTTGGTTAGGTTATATTATTTTTATTACTTAACTTGCGATCAAATAATTTGCGAACTGATCTGGCGTCCAGAAAAACAGATGTCAACAATTACCGACTCATGACCTAAAGACCATTTGCAGGCATTCTCGTGCGGCGATTCTGCGTATAATAAGAAACAAGCTGATCTAGCTAACGGTACATTAAAAGCTCATATATTTTGATTTTTTCTCCCATTTGCATACCCCTAAATGTTGAGCCAGCAGAAAAAAAAATTCAATTAAAAATGCTTTTCGAAATCCGTTTTTCGTCTGTTTGATCAATAGTCCGACTGTGTTCGAACTATGTTTCTGCGCCGTTTCCCCAAGGCGCGGAAGAACCTTGGGGAAAATGTTCTTCCGAGACTTTCAAAGTCGAAGTATAAGTTGAGCAATTCGCCTCGGGTAGTGTGACTTCGCAATAAAAGTTTGCAAAATGCAGATCAAACCTGATATCGCAAAACCCCCAGAGCACAATTGTTAAAAACAAGGTTGCCTAGTCTTTTACCAGTTATCCTATCATTGAACTGAGTTGACTGCTAGATAATTTTTCTTCTGCTAGCCGGTTGATCTAATGGAATTGCCCAGCACTTACTCCTTTTTTGTTCCGAACACTGAAAGTAGAGAGGAACTTTATCTTCAGCCTTTTTGAATATTTTCCACGCAAAATGAGCGAGATATCATATTACAGCCCATTTAGTCGTACATCTAATAGAAGTTTTAAAAAAATTTCAATATGTCGAGGAAAACCGGTTTAAAACGTTTGGTTTTAGTCTATTTTCGAGCCAATAAAGCGGCAATCAGGCTTATAATAGGACTGTAAGTTTTTGTGTAGATCATGAAATTTTAGTTTTAGTCTAGTAAAAATAGTTGCGGACGTTGGGGAAAAAATAGTACAGAAACTCGAATCAATTTCTTCAAAAACTATTATGGTTTCTTTAATTCAGTTTTTGAAGAAAACTTTTGTCCAATATACCAATTATACAACTACTATAGATAATTTCTAAAATTTAGGCTATTTTTAAAAATCCCACCATCATCTTGTCGTATTGCTAACAAAAATGACAAATTTTTTAGAAAAAAAAGGAAGTAGTTTTTTTGTTTTTTCATTATATTTTGGAAGTCGGTTGGAATTTTTGGTCATATATACGCAAACTCACTGAAGTTTGAGGGGAAAAATTGATTATATTGGTTTATATCAGCGAAACACTTATAATCGTTTTTCATGATACATCCACCATTGAAAATGGATTTTTAAGGGATTGTAATTGATTATTTTCAGTATTTAAACTTGCGAAGCAAAGTGCATTAGTACAAAAATTAATTTTTCCAACCTAAATTGCGGCATTTTTGAATCGGTAGTGGCATTTTTGAATCGGTAGGCTGCGGTAGCAGTATAATATCATATGTGCTTTGCCATTTGATTAGTAAAAAGGTTAACACAGCTGATGCATTTTTAATTCATCAAATGAACCAAAAAAAGTTATTTGTTTTAAACAACTGTTCAATGCTAAAAAGCTCGATTTCAAAAGGCTCGATTTCAATGCAAAGTTGTGCCTTTTTGTAATTGGGTGCTAATTTTGCTATATCGAATTGGCAAGTTATTAGCATATGTAGCTGCGTTATTAGTGGCTAGTTTTTGGTTGATTTAAGCATCCGTGGCTGAGTCGTTAGTGAGTGCCAGGTCGCAGATTCGAATCCGATGCGAATCCGAGTTTTTGCTAATTCAAGGCTTATTTCTACTTTTTCTTAATTCAATTGAAAGAGCGGCTTTTTGGTCGTGTTCTCGTATGTGTTTGCGAAGCGCAGCTTTGCGTCTGTTTTCTTAATTCACTTGAAAGGGCTGCTTTTTGGTCGTGTTCTCGCATGTGTTTGTGAAGCGCAGCTTTGCTTCTGTGTTAAAAATCAATGTAATTTATTATAATCAATCATCATCCATTTTTTTGGTTCAAGGTAATCTAATATTTGTGATAAAATCTAAGAAAATTAATTATTTTTTGCAAATCTGAATTGTTTAATCTGTTTTTCTGTTCTGCAAAACTAAACTGTTCTACTAATCTTTTGCTGTTTTGCACAATTCTGCAAAAATAAAAATTGAACAAATTTGAACAAATTGAACAAATTGAACACATCATGCTCCCCACACCTACTAATAATCCCAACCAGTTCTCTAAAGGTCGGGGGAGGGGGTTGGCCAAAAAGAAGGCTTAACTTAGGAGTTGCGGGACAAGGCGGAAAAAAACAGAAAAAATGTGAAAGGGAACTAACTGAAAATAAAAGAACTGTTTTATTAGCTAGGGCAAATCTAATTTTGTCTTTCTTTAAAAAAAAGAAAGTGCGTTATATCAAAAGCAACCGTCAATTTGTGAAAACACTGCACATGTGCTGAAAATTTCAGACAATTAGAAAAAAATTCAATAATTGGTTGTAATAACTGAATAAAATGGATTATTTTGAATTGTCTTAATTTGATTATAACTGGATGGTTTAAATCTATTATAATCGATTATTTTTTTTGTGGAGGCTGAGGAGTAGCTGGAGTTTTGAAACGAAAAAAAAGCCGAAATTTTCTGAGTTTGCTATTTTCGCAAAGGAGTCTAAATAAGAAAAGATACCGCTACTGTGCCTCTGCTGAAGAGTTACATGCATTTTTTGTGGGCTAGGTATTGTTGCCTAACCCTCAAGCAACAAACACGGATCACTGTGGCATCGAATTCCCAACCTTTCAATTAAGAAGACGAGATGTAGCCACTTTTCACCGCTCCCTTTTTTGTCAAGAAGTAAGAGAAATTGTGGGTGGTCGATGTTTAACCAAATGTTTTTCAAACACTTTCGATAGAGTACGATAAAAAAACTCCCTCAAAAGTTTTTTTGGAAAAATTTAAAACCCAAAGTTTGGTTAAATTTGATAAAATTTTGATATAAAATTGAAAGTTTTGAAAAAAGAAACTAAAAACAAATTTAGACTGTTTATTTTGACACTAGGCAACGTCAACCTAAAAATTGTCCATTTTTGAACTATTTTTTTTTGTTAGAACTAACTTTTTACCTTCTTTCAGCAGCTAATTCCGTAAATTTTTCTTGTTTTTCAGGCCAAATGGTTGATTAATTAATTCTCCGGATCCAAAATTGCGCTTTTGTTTAACTTTAGGCACACCAGTTTTCCCTTTCCAAAGAAACGTTATAAAAAAAATTGAAAATCAATTTGCGTTAGTTGGTTAATTGTGATCAGTTTTGCTTCAAAGCTTCTTTATGCTCGTTTTCCTTATTTTCAGACTCTTTCTAATATCATTAAGAAAAACTCTCAATGATGCCGGCTTTGAAGTTGCTCAGTCACTTAGAGGAAGATAGTTCGATGCTGCATATTATGTCAGAAAATTCAAAACAGTATTGTACAGAGTTTCAACAAAAACCCAGTATTTTGAATATGAAAAAGCGACAAACCAAGTTAACCCGTTTTTAGAGCAGTTTCAGTAGTTCTTTAAATAAACCTTTTCGGAAACGAAAAATGCAAAATGTTCGAATGTATCACAAGATAGCATTCGCAAAATACCTTTTAAAGCGGTCTTTTTTTTACATTTTATTCGGAGAAAACATAGGTAATTTTTTAAAGTCAATTTATTTTTCGGCAATGAGAAACTTTTTTCTTGATGCAGCACCTATTTGTCAAATAAGCGTCATTGGTTGCCTTTTTGGCATGAAAAATTACTGATTGTCAGTACCAGGGTAAAAAAAACATTGTGTTGTGTTGGTGTGCTGGTCAAGAAGGTAAAAAAAAGTAGGTGGTCAATCTTTAACCAAATCTTTTTTTTCAAAGCTGTCAAAATACACTGCGATTTAGTTGTCAATACTTCCGCATTTTTCAAACACGGTCGAAAAATACCCAGTTAGAGTTCTTCGCATATCTTGTAAACTAATGCTTCCCTTCTAATAGGGTAGAAATCACTTAACAAGATTGTTGTTCACATACAAAAAATAAAAAATTGTGGACGAGCATGATTTTTTTGAACCCAATTGTTTTGAACAACTGTTAATAATTAATCAATTTTTGTCAAGCATAATCAAAACTTATTACTCGCATATAATACAAAACAATGTCACATTTTGCCAATGCAAATCAAATTGGATTTAAGAAAGTCAAAACATACCCAAGTTTAACCAAGCAAGACCGATACCAATCAATTTTTAGTCAAACTAGGGTCGTAAAAAGCCTCATCGGTTAGGATGATAATTTATTATTTAATTTTCTTCAATTACTAGACTGAATTTGGGGACCATGCACGATAGTTAAAAAGCCAGGTTTGGTCACTCATGATGAACATCCGAATAGTTTGCTAAATGAAAGATCAGTTTTTTAAGCAATGTCAATTTCCACCTAATTTTGAGCACTGGGTTCCTGGATAAATCTGCCTGACTTTTTCAAACTTTCATTTTGGTCCAGCAAGCATGATTGATATGGTGTTCTCACATTTTTACAAGGCCTTATCAATCTGGGTCACTAACAGTCGGAACATATCTGTTCGGCAATAACTACACTGGATGAAATCGAAAATGCAACAGTAAGTTTTTAGTTCACAAAAAAGTCCTTCAAGCTTTTCATGTCGAGTTTGAAAATTTTTTTAAAAATTATGTCAAGTTTGAAATGGTTTTGGTATTTAATTCAAGATTTTGATAATATAATTGATAAATAGAAACAAACTTCGACTACTTCTTTTGAGAATAAGAAAAAACAACGTAACAAATGGTCTGTTTTTGAACTAATTTGTTTGTTAGAACTAGCTCTTTACCTTTCATCAGCTGAAAAGCCTGTATTTTACGTTATTTTTCAAGACAAACGACCAATTGAAATTGCAGAATAACATATTAAGATACATGATTTATTTAGAATGAAATTGATGTTTTTGGTTCAATTTTAGACAAACAAGTTTAAATGTTTACGAGGAAACTCTAATCCAATATGCGTTAATAATTGACGTG